TTGTGAGATGATGTATTACGGAACGAGTAAAGAGACTTGCCGATAACGAGATTGAACTAGGTATTGGATACCGACGATCGAATCTCGGGCAAGTAACATACCGATGACAAAGGGAACAACGTATGTTGTTATGCGGTCTGACCGATAAAGATCTTCGTAGAATATGTAGGAGCCAATATGGGCATCCAGGTCCCGCTATTGGTTATTGACCAGAGACGTGTCTCGGTCATGTCTACATTGTTCTCGAACCCGTAGGGTCCGCACGCTTAAGGTAACGATGACAGTAATATTATGAGTTTATGCATTTTGATGTACCGAAGGTTGTTCGGAGTCCCGGATGTGATCACGGACATGACGAGGAGTCTCAAAATGGTCGAGACGTAAAGATTGATATATTGGAAGCCTATGTTTGGACATCGGAAGTGTTCCGGGTGAAATCGGGATTTTACCGGGTTACCGGGAGGGTTACCGGAACCCCCCGGGAGCCATATGGGCCTTCATGGGCCTTAGTGGAAAGGAGAAAGGGGCAGCCCAAGGTGGCTGCGCCTCTTCCCCCTCCCCTAGTCCTATTAGGACTAGGAGAAGGTGGCCGGCCCCCCTCTCTCCCTTCCCCTCCGAGGAATCCTAGTTGGACTAGGATTGGGGGGAGGAATCCTACTCCCAGAGGGAGTAGGACTCTCCTGCGCCTCCCTCTATGGCCGGCCAGCCTCCCCCCCTCTACTCCTTTATATACGGAGGCAGGGGCACCTCTAAACACACAAGTTGACACAAGTTGATCCACGTGATCGATTCCTTAGCCGTGTGCGGTGCCCCCTGCCACCATATTCCTCGATAATACTGTAGCGGAGTTTAGGCGAAGCCCTGCTACTGTAGTTCATCAAGATCGTCACCACGCCGTCGTGCTGACGGAACTCTTCCCCGACACTTTGCTGGATCGGAGTCCGGGGATCGTCATCGAGCTGAACGTGTGCTCGAACTCGGAGGTGCCGTAGTTTCGGTGCTTGATCGGTTGGATCGTGAAGACGTACGACTACTTCCTCTACGTCGTGTCATCGCTTCCGCAATCGGTCTGCGTAGGGTACGTAGACAATACTCTTCCCCTCGTTGCTATGCATCACATGATCCTGTGTGCGCGTAGGAAATTTTTTGAAATTACTACGAAACCCAACACTCAGTGCCCTCACCCTCTCTCTTGGAGCGACCGATGGTCGGCCGTCAATCATAATGGCAATCGTGCCTTTCTCATGCTGATTTGCAGGAACCTCCTGAAGACTACAGCAGGCTGCACCACGAGCTCCCTCTCTTTCCCATGCGATCCGCTTGCGCGTTAAAAGGGGGGCTCCTGAGCATCGCGACTCAGGAGCTCTTACTGGCTCTCCAGCCCTCATCCCCTGGCCTTGACCATGACATCGCAACCTGGCATACTAGCGGCGGCTGAGCTTGCTCGAGGGCCGGGACCTAAGGACGTAGAGCATGAAGGAGAGTGCGGGGGAGAAGAGGGAAGGCTTGCACAGGCCCAACCTGGCTGCGCCACCGCTGCAGACGCTCAAGTCTGGCGCAACACAAGGGGACGACTCCAGATCACCAACATAATTTTCACGCCTGGAACAGCTGATCGCTACAACGCGGAATTCTCACTTGGTGCGGCCCTGTGACGGCAACGTTGCCTTCCTTTCTCACCACTCAGTGACTCCTTGCGCGCTAAATGGGACCTCCCGAGCATCGCGACTTGGGGGCTCTTACTGGACCTCGAGCCGCTCACCTCCTGGCCTTGACCACGGCATCGCGACCTGGCATACCAGCGACGGCTGCAGCCTGCCTGGGGACCGGGACCTGTCAGTGTAGAGCACCAAGTCATCGCGAGGCTAGAAAGGGGGAACCAAGCAGGGACAGGACGAACGCTCACACGATTTTATAATAAGGATAACATCACCGAAAGACATCGCAGACCCTTTACACGCCCCCGCGGGGTATTGCTTGATTCCTCGCAGGGAACAAAAGAAGAGAACTTTGAGGAACCCTAACTACGCGCACCTTCATGGCCGACACCATCATCGACAGTGGGCCACGAAGGACCGACGCCAACCCCATCCAGATCAGTGGCGGCGACGGCCCGACGCTGCCGCCTTGCTCCAGGTGCGGCGTAAGCTCAGGGGAGTGTAGCTGTCGTCGCTCATCTCCGGAGTCTCGTAGAACTCGGAAGAGCCGCTGGACTCCCAAGCGTCGTTGCTGCTGCCGGAGGAGCCGTTGGAGGAGCGGATGGCAAGCCCAGCCCCTGCCGCGTCGACGCCCTGACTACCCTTTCCTTGGCAGCACTCCAAGCGGCGGCCTTCCGCGTTGAAGACCTTGAAGAACAACGTGGAGGTGCCATCATATTCGAAATGAATCATGAGGGCGCCTTCCGTTCGGCAGACCCGGGCGACCTCGCCCCAGCCTCGGGTCATGAAGATATTGCCTAGAGAGACGACTTCAACCTCCGCTCAGGTCACCGGAGTGCTGCAGTTGGCGTGCTGCAGCCAAAGCTCGAGAGGCCCCCTCGACGGCATCTCGGTGGATAAGAACGAAGGGAAGAGGATCTAGGTGCTGGAGGCATCGCCGCATGAAGCACAAGCTCGCGAGAGGAGTCCGCGGCGTGGACTCCGGGGCGGCAGCACACGCCGCCACGGTGCGCCGACCATGGCTGCGGCGCTGGCGGCGCCGTTCGACGCCCCTCTCTCCTGAGCCCCCGACTTGGGCGTACAGGGGTAGCGGGTACCCAGGAGGCGACCGCTCGTACCAAGGCCTCGTCATCTCCAACATCGCGACCCTGCCGTGGCGGTGGACCGGCCTTTTCTTTGGCGGAAGCGGATCAGGCCCCTCCTGGGGGCCTTCCTCTTCTCCTCGCCCGAGAACCTACGGATCGACGCCATTGGTATCGAGACTGGAGGTGGAGCAAGGGAGAAGAAGCGAGTGGAATGGGAAGAGATGGGCGACGTGGTCTTTCGCCCCTCCTCATTTTATAGCCTAAAGGAGGCCAACTATCGACCTCCACGATCGCAGGTAATCATAACCCTTTTTTGCATGTAGCAAGGACTTGTCAAGTCATGCAGTTGCCGAGGCAGCATGGGGAAGTGGAGACGCCCACGTCCAATCAGTCTCCATGCGTCGACCAAGGCCCCAGGCTGTTGGGGCCCGCGACGCTCCGCTCTTGCCCTTTGGCTTCGCCGCTAAGCCAAGTCCGAGAGCGCCTTGGGCCCCGGGGCTACTGTCAGTGTTCTGGGAACGGGGGTCCCCAGACTTGCCTGCCTGCGGCCCGTGGCGTGGCTCCACCAGCGGCCCAGTGCGGCCCGTCTTCATCAGCCAACACTCAAGACCCTCGCGAGGGCCAAGCCTCGCGGGGCGGACGACACGAGACCTTCTCAGGAGCGGCCTCATCCGGCAGGCTCACTAGGGAGGCGGAGAGATCAAGGCAAGGGGCACCTCGCGAGGTTCCCGTGACGCAAGCCATGACGACCAAGGCCGGGCTGGCGCCAGGCAGGCCCCAGCGCGCGCAGTGTCCTCGTTTCCCCTTTGGTGCTAAGGGGGAAAGCGCAGGCGCGGAGTACCGAGGCATCAGGCAAAGGTTTTCATATCGGTGCAACAAGACCAAGACTAGCAGGACGGCAAGACAGAGGTCATTGTGGAGCCCAAGACGACGTCATCACGAGAGCCTTTGGTAGGCGAAGACTACCTTTAGTCAGGATAGCTTGTACTAGTTGTCCCTCTTTCAAAATGGCCGTTGTTGGATCCCTTCCCGCTCAATATTTGGGAAAAGGACCAGGGCCTCTATAAATAGGGCTAGCCACCCCCAAGGCAAAAGGAGGGGGGGGGGTCGACCGATCGAACCTTGAGCAGAACCACCCACCTAACACAAGAACACCTCGCCTCAGGAGGTTGTTCTTCCCCTTGTACTGTTCATCATCAGCCCAAGAGGCAATCCACCACACCACACTGGAGTAAGGTATTACACCACAACGGTGGCCCAAACCAGTATAAACCTTGTGTCTCTTGTGCTGTGATTTCGTCTAGATAAACTTAGGGATCGCGGCAAGGCTGAGAGCGAGATTCCGTAGGGTAAAATTTCGTGCGCACCCTAGTGTTCGAACCTTAAGGGTTTTGCCGGAACCCGATATTCGACAGAGGAAACATACCTGCCAGCCATGAACCACCAAATCAGACATGATCCACCATCCTCCACATGGCGCCGATGTAGACCACATTTTGCCATCCTAGACTACCTCCCAAGCTCCATGTCGGCGCTAGAGCAAACATCATTATAGCGATGGAGCCCTAGGTACAAGTCTACCATGAGGATGTCGTCGCCACATCATCCTTGGTTGAACATACAGGTTTCTAAATCCATCCCCAACCATAGGTCTGATCGCCTTGTCGGGGAAGGATTTGAAGTTTCTTTAATCAACGCCATTGTCACCAACGCCGAGGTCAAGACGATGAACGACCCGAAAACCTAAGTGACCAGGGCCTAAAACTTAAAAGCTACACGATCGCACATGTGGATCCAACAACGCCCTCACCACCGACGACCGACGTCATTGGCGGAGGGGAGACGCTAGAGGACGGCGATGGAAGGAAACGCCCCTAATGGCTAGCGAGACGCCTTTTCTTTCTTGGTCATATCAAAACACATTTCGTCATAAAACTCTACAAGCATGTATTCCCTCTGTAACTAATGTAAGGCGCTTTTGTTGTTTAATTAGTTGTAGCATAAGTTCCAATATGTTTGTGTAATTTTTTCATATTTTTAAAACTGAAAAGATTTAAAAAAATCAAAATTCAGGCGCTATTTGCAATTTCCGCGATAACTAGATTGTGATTTTTCAACCAGAAAGAAACTGTGATTTCCTCCACATTGCGCAGGACCCATCGGTCCAGTGCTTCGTCTGAAGCTCTTCCATATGTCCAACTCCAAACCCATCCCAGAACCCGACTAAAGTTTCAAACCAGACATCTTCCCGATCCTTATGGCGACCTCGCCGCCGCGGAGCCCTAACTCAGGCGATCGGCCCGAGACCACTGACCTCGTTGTCGCCGCTCCGGCACAGCCCGCTCGCATATGGAACTCCCTCGTCGCCCGCCTCCCTACGCTACCGAACTCCCTCCTCCTCGTCGCCGCCTCCGATCTCCTCCGCCGCCTCTTGGCGGTACGCAGACGACGCCGCCGCCGCCGCCGCCCTGCTCTCCCACTCCCCATCTACGATGACGCCGCAAGCTCCGCCCGGTGAGAACCTCTACTCGAATCAGCGCGGCGCCTGTCATTCCCATGCCACGCAGGCTTTTGCTGGAGTAGTGCTGCGCTTCGTGCTCTCGTTGACTGCGGACAGAACAAAGTAGATTTGTGCGGATTTAGTGTTACAGGTTACGAGATGGCCCGTGATGAACTTGTAGAAACGTGTTCAGGAATTGGTCACTTGACCAAAATATAGGACCCACCACTACTCTTGAGCTAACGCATCATAGATCTGGTCATCTAGCTATCTGTCCGGTGTTCCTTGTCTGTGAAGAATTACCTGGAATGCTTTTGACTATATGTTAATAACAGGGTTTCTGGTGAGATGCCCAAAGCTTTTGCCATCTTAGAAGATATCGTGCAGCATACTTTGTCTGATTTGCATAGCATTCAGAAGAGCTTACTTTATTGGAAGTCCAAAGCTGAGGTATTAAGTCAATTGATAACTTTGAAGTTTTTTTTTTTTTGCCTTTTTAGCATGTAGAGAAGTTATATTATTTTGCTACTTACCTACTTTTGCCTGTGAGATTTTTTCAGGGAACAAACTCACATAAAATGTACTTTATGATGTTTGAAAGAGGTCCAAGGGCCTTCCTTGAAGCAACATGTCAAACACTAACTAGACTCAGGAGCAATGGGAGTCCATCCGAGTACCTTTTAGGCTCTGCATCTGATATAGTCTCAGTAAAACTTGCTGTCCTGACGAATATGCAACATCGATTGGCTGCTTTTCTGGCTGAGGTTTGCTACTCTAACGTGTTTATCGTGAAAAAGTAGCAACAGTGCTATGGTTTCAACTTTCTGCTGATGTGAAGTAGAATAAAACAGTCAAATAGCATTTTCGTGATTAACCTTGCTCCTGCTCTCCTCCGAAAAAGGAAACAAAAAGAAACTGTTGTATCACTGTAGTCAAATTTCAAAGTTATCTTTATTTGAATATAATGCTGCTTTGTGCTACATGACTAGTCATTTACATGAACTTAAACTCTGACTTGCTTCTTCTATAGGTTTACTCTGAAGTTGATAAATGCAGAGAAGGATTAACTGAAAGTTCAGATAAATCACTACATACACTATTTGTTATTCTGAACACCGTCTTCCCCAAATTGGAGGTATCTCTTACAAATGCTAGTGAGGTATGCAATGCTTGTTGTCCATATATTTGGATTTGTAACATGTTTTGCCTCTTTGATGCTATGTGGTTTAATTAGTTAAAACACATGTCTTCAGGGGCAAACTCTACCATTCACTCATGACGGAAACTCATCTCAACTTATCTTCGAAAGATTGCCAGAGGTTGATGTTGAGAGTCCACAATGGAGTGAGGCCTTAGCAACAGATGCTATTAGTCTGATATATCAAAACCTCCAAAAGTTAGATAGTTTTGTTTCCTCTCAGGTAAGTAACTATCATTTCGACGATGACACATGTGAGATCATCGACTTCCCAGCCTCATAGCACAATGACCTTAGACCATTACAGGGTTAACACATTTGAGGGGATAACTTGGCAGTGACGGCTCCTTCAGGGGGGATATGAGAGTAGAGATGTGGACGAACCTTTCTTTTCTGTCCGTCTTAAAAGAAATCAGGATACAAGTGCCTCTCTTCATGGGGTGCCATCTCTAGTAGATGGAAACCATCATTAGGAAATAGATAACTAGCATATATAAATAGGAAATAGATAAACAGGCAGGTGGATTTTAGAAATATTTCGCTGAAAGATATATAAAAGCTACCCTCCAGTCATGGTGATTGTTGCCAGTTTGCCACCCTTCTGCATGTCTTTCATCCTCTACATAAAACTCGGATTCTTTGATTTCTGTTACCTGAGTTGTTGGAGGGGTATTAAAGTTTCAATTTCAGTATTTTATATTTACCCGTTTGTGCTTATCTATATCTATATGCCAGTCACACATGCTTTCTTATTATAAATTAGTGGTAGGATTACAGCTAAATCCCGTGGATAACATAGCGATAATGTGTAGCTTGTATGGCACTGCATGTAAAGTACATGCTGCTAGTGTTGCGTAATTTATCTGAAGCGTGTTATTGTTTGCGGATAGCTTTCAAGTCATAAAAAGCCAAGAAATATGACCATATACTGGTTACCCTACACGTGTGGAGCAATTGGCCTCTCTGCATGTTCCCTATGGCTTCTGCGCCATAGTAGCTTGATGGGAAGTTCTGACATGGACAACTGGATTCAAGATGCTAAGGAGTCAGTTGCTGGATTCTGGGATGAACATGTTGAGAGACCAGTAAGACACTTTCTTTATATGTCTTCTACTACTCCCTTCGTCCCATAATGTAAGACGTTTTTTGACACTAGTGTAAGTTAACTGAAGGTAAATCAAACTATTTAATGAAGGCAGAGGCTTTTCAGGTTGGTTCTGGTTGTACATTTACTTATGCAAGATATCCTGTGAGGTCCTGCAAGAAGCCTTGGTTTGTTTGTCACATATAACTGAAAAAAGAAGCATGCTGCCTTGTGCGTTACTGGCTGTAGTGTTTGCTTATGGTGGTAACAGATTGATGGAAGTGAACTCATGTTTTCCTTACGGGAGCATTTGTATATGTTAAGATGAACATGCTTTAGTAGATGAGCATATTTTCATATATAAGCCACAAAGCTTGTCAATATTCACCTTCATCGGTGTCGTAATTGTCGAAATACTGTTTATTCAATTTTTATGCGGAACCATTGAAGTCCAGGAAGCATTGCTACAAGCTGGTCTACATTTCTATAAGTTTGGAAATCAGTCTGAGTTATTGCGCTCACATCATGACTGCCTTCTATGTTTTGACAATTGCAGGTCATTTCCATTAGAGATGAGCTATTCGAGACATTCAAGCGAACAGATAAACGTGTAATGGAAAGGGAAGAGGTCCAACTAACCGAAGAATCATTGCACAGGTTGTTCCCAATGCTGTCATTCTTTAATATTCTGAATTATTATACTCATGGTTCTTTCTTGAAATAGAGTAGAGCTATTATAGCATGGCTTTGAGGAGATGAGATACTAGAATAGGGAGAAACAGATCATAGATGAGACAGGACTTTAGATTAGGAAATAGTGATCATAGACTGATTTCTTCTTGTTTGTTCTTATGAGTAACAACACGCAGCCTTTTATAGGCCAACTAAACTTGTCCCCATTACTTGTTCTTTGTCTAGCAATCCAATTCAACTCAAACTCAATTTGTCAATGTGCACCCATTACTCTCTCCATTTTAAAATGTAAAACATATTCAATTGTTTATGACAGCTGATAATTATTCCATTGATATGTGGTTATGTGAAACAGAACCACAATTCACAATCATAAGCAAGTACATTTGAATATGAATCGACCGACATCAATTTTATGTCACATAAATTGCCTTGCCTTAACCAATTCAGAACATAAGCAAGTGCATTTGAATATGAATCTACCGACATCTAATTTGATGGAGTAATTGTTTGTCAAAGCCAGTATAGTACAATTTATGTACACCCTACATTTTTAAAGAGAGAGAGTAGTAATATAAACAGAACCTTGTTCATCCCAACACCTACTTGCTGTTCCTTATGTACTTTCCTTTTGCTGTAATTGGTAATATTGCTTCATTCTGGAGCAGCATAATTATCCCAGTGAAAAATCTATTTGTTCACATTTTCTTGAATATGTAAAACTTTAGCGTCGCATTTTATGTTCTGAAATGCAATAGAGTACTCCCTCCGTCCAGAAATACTTGTCGTAAAAAATGGATAAAATGGATGTATCTAGAACTAAAATATGTCTAGATACATCCATCTCTTCGACAAGTATTTGCGGACGGAGGGAGTACCATAAATCACATTGTGCATTATTTGACCATGTTGGTTACAGGATGTTAATTACCTTCTGTGAGCAAACTTCAAAGGAAAAACTGGCACAGGATGCATCATTGCAGGAGTTGCTGGAGATTGTCATGAAAAGGTAAGACTGAACTTTTAACTATACATACCGTTGTGTGTTCATTTCGTATCTTCAGCCAGTTGTTGCAAGTTCAATGGCCACTTGAATTATGTGATTTCTTGTTGCTTACTCTGGAGCAGTACTACATTCCACCTTCCTGTTCTGCCTTATAAAGACATCTTCAATCGCTTTTCAGTTCCCTTGTGTGCAACTAAAATAGTGTTGGCACTGGGGCTGACAAAACATAAGCATTTTATGGGGGAGTAAGAAAGCCATCTGAACTAGTTTAAGTTATATGGAATATATGAAAATTCTAAGCCATAGCAACAAATAATTCCACTCGGTGGATTTTTATTTAATGCTTATTTACATTTGCATTTAAATGTTTAGTACCTATTTTTGGGAATCCCAATCGAACTTGAGTTTCTGCTGTGAGTGATAGAAACAAACTTCAGGAAGCTAGGGATAGTACCTATTTTTTTCAGCATGACTCCTAAGAAGTGGTTGATACAAATACAATTTATCATGTTTACTCTTAAATTCTTAATCACTCCTCCTATCTAACTTGTTAACGCAAGATACATCTACAGTTGCATCGAGAGAGTCGCATGCTTTACGGATACTTTAGGCATGTTGCTTATATAGCTAGCGCTTCCCTAAGTTTACTTGTTTTGGTTCATCCCCCAATGGATTAGTTCTTTACATGGTGTTTGTTTAATTCAAAGCTGTCTTGGCAGTTTATATTCTATGAACCATCTGAGTAATGTGTGAAAAGGGACTACATTGATCCTGTTTGTTTGTGGATTGAGCTGTATTGTACATTAATGCAGGTACGAAAAGGAATCGATGCATCCAATTCAGAATCTGTTCAGTGGAGAATTAGCACGTGCCATGCTTATTCAGGTTTTTTTTTTCATTTCTTGTGCATTCAACTCAAGTTAACTTGAATTTTTTCTCACCCATCTTGGAAATTTCAGGTTCAGAAGCTAAAACTGGATCTTCAGGAGTAAGTTGTACTATTATATCTGATAATATTGGTTACATGCATAATGATTAAATGTGTATTTTTTTGTATTTATATATTATTTATTTACACCAGAGATGCTTGAATTGGTCTTATACAGGGCAATGCTGGAACTGGATCAGATTCTCAAGGCAAATGAGATAAACTTTGCTATTCTTGCAGCTCTGCCTGCATTTGGTCTTCTGCTTCTCCTGCTGTTTTTAGTGCGAGCATGGGCTATGCATGTATGTATATAGATTTCTGTTCATTATCTTCTTGATTACAATACATCTGAGGCATCTGGTATAAGTGATTATAGGTCTTCGAGACGTTCATATGTTGCTTTCTAACATGTTTGGGGCTTTGGGCTATACATCTTGTGCCATTTGCACCATGGTCATGTCCTATTTGCCATTCGTACCATGAACAGGCGTGTGAAAAGTTAAGAGGATTGCAGTTCAAATCTCTAACATTTACTGCCACAATAATATAGGACCAAGGTGCAGAAGGAAGAGGAAGGATTGCACGTCATCAGCGGTGGCAGCTACTCATAGAAGTTGAGCGAAGACTTAAAGAGTTCAAGAAATGCATGATTAATGAGATGGTAATATCATCTATAGATGTTTAGTCTATCCTACACATTAATTTTGACGTGTACACATATTCCATTTCAAGTTTTAGGCCACATTTGGCCTGTTGGTGGGTAACTAGTTTCCTTATTATGACGATCAAACTTGCCGGTTGCTTTTAATCTGCACAATACTGCCCGTTCACCAAAATATGAGGGGGCCAGAACTTTGAAGACGAATAAACTGAGACGAAAGTGATGTTCTGTTGATGAGATGAATGGGCTTGTTTGTAGGAACTTTCAACTAGTGATTGATTCCCTTAATTTTCTGCTTTACAGGACGAGGAGGCGAGCTGTAAATTCGGATTGACTCTGTACACCCTTGATAGATTATACAAGGCTGTTGAGGTGCATGCGAAGGAAACAGGCGAGTGGTCAAGGTCAGTCAGCTAAAACTCTCTTTCTGGCCTCTCTACTTGATTACTATTATGGATTGCCTGTGGATTAAATCGTTTTGCATTGCAGTTTGAGAGATGACATGTTTAATCTGGCAAAGCCTAATGTCGGAGTGGCGGACAAGCTGGATGTTCTTAAAGGGCTCAAGTGGAACTACGCCTGCTTACGCCCATCGCTGTCGTGAACTTTAGCTGTGATTCAGTTTTGAGATGGTTTTACCCTGAAACCATACGGTGACATGCAATCCACTTTGCATATTTTTTGAGAATAGTCTTTTGATGTGAATGCTTTGGAGCCTTTTGCTCTGTGCAACGGGATAGAGTGACTCTGCCACCCCACCGTAAGGCCTCATTTGGTTTCAAGGGCCGATTACCCCAGGGCTCTAATCCCCTTCGGGGGGATTTCCATGCCCTCTCCCACGCCACGGGGAGATTACCATGCCAGTTTGGTTAACAGGGGGAGGGGTGGAGATCACGTCCAGAAAAAGTGTAAACAAAATTGTAATATTCAGGAATCATGAAAATGACTCGGTTTCTTTACAGAAACATCATACCAATTCAGAAGTAATCAAAATTTATGTATATTTCCTTGAAAAAAAATTCAGGAATGACACAAAGTACTAGATAATAATTCACGAATTTTAAGGCATGAAACACACAGGTAATCAGCAAAATAACACTTCAACCCACTGACAGACGCTAACCACAAGTTATACATATCGATTCGCACAAATAACATAGCACTACAGAGGTGTGCTAATCATGGTTTTAACAACAAAAATACAAACTACGGCTAGAAATCCAGCAATGATAAGCATTTTGTTCCATAAAAAATGCCCATGTGTGACTGATCCATAGCAAAATGTTTGTTGTTGAAATAGTTACTCTACTAAAACTTCTACCATCAACTTCTTTGAACATTTTTATCGGATAGCTTTAGTAAACCTGCAAAACAAGAAAGAACAGTGTTGTTACTACACAATATCACATTTAAAACTGTCGGGGATTGCTGATCCACCAACACCTATGGGGACAGGGCCCCTTTCGGTTCGGTGGGGGGCGGAGGCTGCACAAAGAGCGGATCGAGGCGGTACACGCGAGCGGTTTTACCCAGTTTCGGGCCGCACGGATGCGTAAAACCCTACTGCTGCTTGTTTGTGTGTATTGAATTCTTGCTCAGGAGCGATGGACGCTGCCAGACTGAGCGTGGGAGTGTTCCTGGTTTTTCGAATGAGCCGAACCGGCCGAACCCCCTCTACGTTGCGCTAGGGCCTCCTTTTATAGTTTCAAGGGGTCACCGACAGGTGGCAACGTAGACTAGAAGGGTAAAAATGGAAAAGGATGCGGTAGCTGCACCTACCGCTACTGTGGACACAGTGCACCCTACCTAACTCTGACTGCAGGGGACAAGGTCATTGAATGCCTGTCTGAGTTGCCTAAACAGTGCAAAAAGTGACCATTAGGAGCGCCACCGTTTGCCACGATGGCCTTCTCTTCATCTCCGCTTGCCACCGCGCACCCCTAGCTGCACGGCCTCCTGCCACGTGTGCTTGGGAGAGTCCTAGAGCGACACGTTAGCAGGTGTGCTGGAGCGCGGGCACGAAGTGGGGGTTTCCCGCGGCAAGCTCCTTGCCGCAGTCGTCGTCTTGTCGCGCCCGAAAGCTTGTCGTTCGCCGGGCCTTGCCGAGACGCAGGGCGCGTCGCAGCAAGATTTCTTGGTATGCCTTGAGTGGCCTTCCCGGCAAGCTCCTCTTGCCGGGGTCTTGTCTCTTCCCGGCAAGATCCTCTTGCCGGGGCCTGGGTTGGCCTTCCCGGCAAGCTCCTCTTGCCGGGGCCTTGGTTTGAGTACTTTGTTCTTGAATGGTCTTCAAGGGAACCACGGAGGGTCTTGGCGGTCACCCGACAAGCCTTGCCGCGGGACGCTGCGACTGCCCGTGCACGAGTTCGGGATACTAGGGTACCCCTACTCTAGTACACCGACAGGAGCCCCCGGGCCTGGGCCATACACGGTGCCGAGCGCTGTTGGGCCAGGCCCAAAACAGTGCACGGGCACGTGCGGCCTAGGTCACGCCGCATATCTCTCCGCTCCCACCGCGCACGCCCAGAACGGCACGCGTCAAACGCGGCGTCGTGGGTGACGCGGGCGGCGTGCGCGGGGCTAAGCCCCTCGAGCATGCGTCAAGCCACGATGATGGGGACGGTTCACGCTCTCCTCCCTAAGCGGAGGTAGGCGTGGGGGCGTGGTGCATTTACTGGACGGGGCCGGTGCGCGGTTTTCGGGACGTCCACTCCCCGCGATCACGGGGCGGAGCGAGGCCGCCTCATCCGTCGCCTTGGTTCTGCATCTCCGCCACGCGGCTCCCATGCGCTTGGGGTCGCGGACGGTGGAAGTGGGAAACTGGGCCATCGCGAGCAGAGGCAGCGGGTTGGCCTCGACTCCCTGCTCTTCCCGTGCCTTGATTCGCTGAGCGGGGCGGCCGAGCCCCCACCTCGCTCCTTTATAAAGAGCGGGAGGGGAGCACAGAAACCCGCACTCTCTCATCTCCTCCTTTCTTCAGCTTCAGCTCCCCTTTCTCTCATTCGCCATGGAGAAAGGGAACCCGGGCCCTTCATCGGTGGCGGCGAGGGTCGCCGCCAGACAGCGCATCCCTCCCTCTCCCGCGCCCGTGGTGGCAGAGCCAGCCATAAGGGGAAGAGGGAGGGGCGAGGTCGCGGACGAGGTTGAGGACGAGGTCGAGGCGCTCGGGGAAGAGGCGGGCGGGGCGGCGCGCCAGCTTCGCCTCCGCCGGCGGCTCCTCCCCCCACGGCGGTCCATATAGGGGACGACCCTTGTGAGTTCTTCGTCAAGCTGCGCCGGGCGCCTCGTCGTCACCTCCGGCTTCCAGCTCCGTTTGCGAGCGCGATGGAGTTGGACCCGCCCGAGACACTGAGACTGCACATGAGGGGCTGTGGGATCAGCGGCACGCGAGTCCGCATTGTATTCCCAGCCCCTAATGTGATGTATCTTGATCGAGGGTGGAAGACGTTCGCCCGTATCCACAGCCTGATGGAGGGGTTTACCCTCCATTTTAAGTTGATGGAGGGCGATCTCCTCTCCGTCAAGGTCTTTGGGTGCTTCGGCACTCGGGCGAAGTGTTGCGTGGACAGCTCCTCCGACAGCGAAGGCTCCTCCTCGAGCGAGAGTGTCGAGGAGGAGAGCGACAGCGACGATGAGAGTAGCGGGCGGCGGGGTGGAGGGTCTGACTAGGCGTCGGGCGCCGCTTCGCGCGGCACCGGCGACCCCATCATCCGTGTCGCCGACTCCTTGAACTCTCCGGGGTCATCTCCTTGGGCGGCTGGCGTAGGGAGGCTGCGAAAGGGGAAGAGGGCTGGCGACAAGGCCGTCAGGTCGGAGTACGAGGGCGTGGTGCCCTCGACAGCGTGCTGACGTCCTGCCGCCCCGTCTTCGAGCCCCGCTTCCAGCGCCGCCATCGCCGTCCAGCCTTCGGACGGCTCCCGGGATGTTCTCTTGGTGTCTTCTGGCACCCGTAGCTCGCGTAGGCGCTCCTTTTGCCCTTTTCGCCTCCTTGACCTGCCTCCTGAAGAGAGGGACAGGAAAGGGATTACGGGCATCTTATCTTTTTAATTTGTAAGCCTTCGGGCCTTAGCTGTATCTAAAACTTGTAATCCTCTCTTTCATGTTTTTCATCCTCTATGGACTGTACCCGAGTGGGATGTTTTTTAATGAAAAGGGGATGCTTGCCGGGTTATTTGTCTCGCGAGTTGAACCCACGCCAAGGAGCAAATCCTTGGTGTCCCTCGGACAGACATTTCATCTCCCGGCAACAGGCCCTGCCGCCTTCCCATGTCGCTCGACCTTTCTCACGCCTTTGACGGAGGCGGGAACGAGGTGGGTGCGGTCTCCTCATTTCATCCCTTTGCTGCCGCGACTACGACCAAACTCGGCCCCGGGAACGAGCCTCAGGGCCTAGAGTTGAGGGAGCATGGCAGTTTTCGGGAAGAAACGCGGTTTCGCATTCCCCAGTCCATAAGAGGATGCATGATGAGGGATGAAAGACTTATCTGATATTGCAGCCCCCGGCAACTCTGGTTTGCCGTGGACGATTCTTGGCACTCGCAGCCCCCAGCGATACTGGCTTGCCGGGGCCCAGGAGCCGTCCGTTCTCTTCTTTACTTGTCGCTGCCAGTTATGTCATGGGAACACTTTATTAGAGGCGCGACAAGTTATTTTTGTAATATAACTCTATTTTAGGCAAAAAATTGCTGTGTTACTTCCTTTACTCGACTCTTGGCTTTGTATGGTTCTGCCCTACGCTTTCTAGGGAAACTTGCCGGCGCAGGTACCCTTGCCGCGAGGGCCAAGTGCAGAACTTCAGCAGCCTGCTGGCGGGGTCGCTATCGACAAGCAACCTTGTCGCAACTAGTTGCAGCTCACTTAAGTTGTTGAGCGGACTCGAAACAAAGTAAGGGCGCTAGCGGCTCACTTAAGTTGCTGAGCGGACTCGAAGCAAAGTAAGGGCGCTAGCAGCTCACTTAAGCTATTGAGCGGACTCGAAACAAAGTAAAGGCGCAACTAGCTACGAGTTGGTTCCTCCGCGCACAGGTTTTCCATACAAAGCACGATCGTTCAAGGAAAATAACTCAAAAACTTAAAAAACTGATTGCTCAAGCTTTAGCAACTTAGCTTTTCTGTCGTCTGCTTCCCAGCAAGGAGAAACTTTCTTGAACGGCCTGGTCCACACCATTATCTTCTCCTCCCCCCCGGTAAACCTTGTGGGCGAGGGAACCTTCCTTCTTTTGAGAAAGAAACAGAGAAATAAAGTAATGATATGGAGCCTTGGGCTCGCTATTGCTTACCGGGGTCTGGTGCTGCACAAAGTGTCAGATAACATATGCGAAAAAGGATTATAGCATAAAAAACTGACAAGATGTGCGGGGCACATGAACTTTACTGGTGCACGGGGTCTGCGCCCGGCTTTGTACAAAGGATTACATGCAACAGCGGCAAGACTTGTACAAAAGGTGGTTGCCGGAAAAGCTTCTGGCAACCGCGCCTTACGGGTAAAACTTACGAAGATGTTCTATGTTCCAGGAGTTGCTCACCGGAATGCCATCTTCGGTCTCAAGGCGGACAGCGCCGGGCCTAGTGACTCGTTTCACCCGATAAGGGCCTTCCCACTTCGGC